CAGTTAGCACAATCGAGCATCTACGGTGGCGTTTCCGTCTGGAGCTTATAGGTCTTCCAGGTCCCATCCTAACCATAGTGTAGTGACATTTAAGTCCGTTTTGCTTTACTCAGTTAGAATAAGCATTTTAAGAGAACTTGACTCCACTCTGAATGAGACATAGAAGAAGCTCGTTCATTTTGCCTTCTGTGGACTTTGTTCCTATTTAATAGTTTGTAACTTTTGGGATACTGCTATTTTCGTTTCCTGAATGGCCTTCTCACCGTGACCAATTAATGAGTTTATCGCTTACAGTGGGATAAACAGCGCTTTCCCTTCATAGTGCTGCTCAGGCGTCCCAGACGTCTGTCGAACTCCATTATGGATTATGACTTTTTCAGTTGAGGACGGGCCGAGTTAACCTGGGCCACCTACGGGATTGGGTGTTGTCCCTGTCGAAAGTAACGTGGCCGACTGGCAGAGGTTCCCAAATCACAAGTCAGGGAAGACGGTTCGATTTGGGCAACCTTTGTTACTGAGGAAGTGCGCGCACGAATGCTCCGTAGGAAGTCGCCGCGAGCGCACTCTTCGAGAAAATTGTGTTGTCTGTGTCCGCCGTCGAGGTGCCCAGACCCAGCGCGTGTGTGCGCCTTTCGTTGTCTCAGCGTCTGCCAGCCAATCAGGGGAGGGGCAGTGTAGATTGACTTTGAGCACTGGGGAGGCTATTTACAAGCCTCGTGCGTCCCAGCAGTGGATCGACAGGGAGTGTAAGGCGGACAGGAAGGCAGCATAACAAAGGCGGAGGGCAAGGAGACGTGAACTGTCACATCTCCTCTGTTGGACTTTTTTAAGGTGACGATGGGGAAAGGAGGATGAGGGATGGAAAGTAAAACAGAATTACCGGGTGTGGGGACGCGCAACAGAGCATACCTTCGCCTGGATTAGCCTGTTATCTAAGGCGGTTACTGGGGTGGGACCGGTTGGCAGAGCTTGGCTTCGAGAAGCCTCATGTGAGAGTTGGGTTTCAGCTAATGGACGATGGGCGTGGTCAACACCTACACCAGACAAGTGAAGCGACCTACCGCGACCTTCACGTGGACCCCAATGTGGACACCCCGTCACCCTTTGGGATACAGCAAGAAACATGCTTCTTCCATGTGTGATATGTGTTTACTCTTAGCAGGTGAGGGGTGGTGCGGAACTGGGTTATTTGTGACTTAGGAGTGGGTAGGTTAAGGCGGACGAGGTGTGGTGATGAGGTTTGAGCTGAAGTGTTTGACTGCGGATTTTAACAAAGGCCGAAATGATCACGTAGGGCGACGGGGCGAAAGAATAGCATTACGCATTGTGGACATTTGAGGCGGATGTGACATGTATACTTTGGGGCTCCTGACACTAGTTAGCCAGTGTCGGCGTGATAACTTTGTAAGTGATCGACCAGGTCAATGCTTGGTGGGACTGTATGAGCTTGGAGTTAAAATCAAGACTGAAGGATGGCGAACACAATCTGGCTATCGTCAAGGGGAAGGTAGTTTGGAAATATATGCCGTTTCAGTGGAACCAGCCTGTAATACTACGAACGACGACAGCTACTCAGCTAAAACAGACACCTTCGTTGAACCACCTGATCAAGGCGCCAACACAAGTGAGCCCGTAGCGTCCAGTGATCTGACTGAAACAAGGCATGTAAATGGAACCAATCAGGTAACGGAAGAGCCTAGAGAACACGACGTCCGCGATAACGAAGTAATGCTTACAGCAGTAACAAATGCAACGGGAAATTCGGCTGGTGCAAAACTAAGGTGCTTGTACACGAATGCCCAAAGCCTCATATCGAAACTAGACGAACTAAAACTTTGCCTTGTTGAGCTGTCTCCAGATGTTTTAGCAGTAACTGAGACCTGGCTGTCCGGGAATATTAGAGATAACGAAGTAGCCTTGCTTGGATACCAAATTTTTCGGAGGGACAGGGAACATCGTCAGGGTGGTGGTATCGTTGTGCATGTGAATGAGGGTCTGGCAGTGTCGGATAACACCATCAAGTTTGCGTGCAGTGCGGAAGCTATCTGGTTGACCATCAAGGCTACCGGTTCCCCGTGTCTCGATGTCCTTACTGTCTACCGACCACCTAGGACAGACCGAATCGCCGACGCTCAACTATTGGAGCAGTTGGATAAATTTTCCAGTCGACCTAACATCATGATCATGGGCGACTTCAACGCACCAGGAACAAACTGGAATACCCTCCAAGCGTCAGGTCCAAAATCGGCATTCGATTACCGCCTGTTGAGCAAGACATTAAATGCGTGCCTCACACAACATGTAATGTTCCCAACGAGAACACGTGAAGGACAAAGGGCAAACTGCCTGGATCTGGTCTTTACGAAAACACCAGACAGCATAGACGAGATCGTCTCAATGCCGCCCCTTGGCCGAAGTGACCACGTAGTGCTTATGTGGGATTATTCGTTATTCTCCATTTCACATACTCCAGACCACAAAAGGCGTAATGTTTGGCGGGGCGACTTCAATCAGATGAGGGCAGACTTATCCGGTCTTGACTGGGGCTGTTTGTTTACGGGAAGTGCCAACGATGACTGGGAGCTGTTCAAGAATGTCCTTCTGCAGCTCATCAACAACCACTGCCCACTGACTAGTGTAAGACTGAACAAACGCCCTGGGTGGCTAAATAGCAACCTCAAGAAAGAAATCAACAGGAAGCACAAATTGTGGAGAAAATACTGCGTCACTAGACAAGCTGAATGCTTCAACACCTACAAGACACAGAGGAACAAACTGGGGAAGCTGATAATTCAGACGCGGCGGGAATTCGAGAAGAACTTGCTACAAAAAGCAACGCAGAACCCAAAATTGCTCTACAGCTACCTCCGACAATCTACAAGGAACAGGCATCAAATCCCCTTGATAAAGACTACTGATGGCGTTGAGATTGCTGATAGTAGAAATAAAGCTGCGTATTTTTCACGGTTTTTCCAACCAGTCTATACAAACGAGGCAAGGTTCCTTCCTCCCTCCACAGAAGAACTGCCGACTCCAAGCGTCAGTGTTATACTCTTCTCAGAAGGCATTGTCCGAAGAGAATTAGAGGCATTGAACGAATCGAAGTCGCCAGGACCAGACGAGATTCCATCCAAGCTTCTGAAGGAACTTGCCCGTGAGCTCTCTGTGCCTTTGTCGATGCTCTTTCAAACGTCATTTGACACTGGAACACTTCCTATCGATCCGAAGCTGGCGCATATTACTCCGCTACACAAAGGAGGTAACAGGGCAGCGACGACAAATTACCGGCCCATAAGCTTGACATGCATTCTCTGCAAAGTTATGGAAAGGATCATAAAGTGTGAACTAATGCAATTCTTCCGCATTGTAAAGGGACTGGATTGCAGTCTGGCCTTCGAGGACTTTTTTGAATTTGCTACCACGACCAACCTCCGAGGTCACCCGTTAAAACTGCGCACTCAGCAGGCACGGCTGGATGTGCGGAAGTTCTCCTTCTCGGTTCGGGTGGTCAAACTGTGGAATGAGCTTCCCGCAGATGTTGTGATGTCACCATCTATACAAAGTTTTAAGAAGAATAAGTCCTACTTGTTCTTGGTTGGCTAACACAATCTTGAGTGGTCGGGGACGTGAGTGCTCTGATATGTCGATTGAGCGCTTTCCAAGCCTAAAGGCCTTGACAACCGAACCTTCCTAATTGGGGCGCAGAAGTTCGTTGAGTAGGCATTGGAAGAGTTCCAGGTCTGCCGAGACCCGCTCTTTGGAGGCACTAGCTGTGGATTCGGGAAGTCCCTGAATAATCAGACATTGTCCTCTGTCCGGCGACACTCTCTAGAACACAGTGGTTTCGTGCTCCGACATAGGCAATATGTGGTTGTCATGAGCTGACGAGGATATAAGCTGCAGTCAATTAAGATCCTCATTCGTCTCTGTTTTGTTTGCATTTTCATCAAAGTCGGAAGTTTTTTTGCGATAGGTTGAGGGTTTTAGGACCCATGTCATTTCCCGTGATGGGCGACACTGACGCCGACGTCCCTGGTTCCGGTTCTTCGGAGGCATTCCTCGGAATCTGCTGTTCATGTCCTTCGACCTTTTTGCTGCACGATTTCTTTTTTTCCTCTGGTTTTTTATCGTTGCTTCGCTGGTTGTTGTCGTCTTGTATTTTATGTGTTTGTGCTGGGTGTGCCGTGACAGCTGCAGAAGGTGTTGATGGCGTATTTTTTGTGCGACGTCCTTTGGCCC